GGAAAGACAGAAGCGACGTAAGGTATCCTTTGATGACAAGGATGTCATTCGAAGAGAAAAAAACTCTATCATTGCTTCTGCACAATGTAAGTACTATGGTCTCCTTCCATAAATTTCTCCTTAAGTATTTATAGCAGAAGAGAATAAAAAGATAAAATGCATTAAACTTTTTCCTCAGTTAAAAATTAACTTACATATTAAAAAGGTTTAGTTCAGGTGATTGATAGTGAGCATCAGTTGTTGTAATTTCTTGATATTGAGTTTGATTTTTACAGAAAAAAAATTGAAAGTGAGAGAAAATTCTATCAGTGAGTCATGAGTCAAAACTTGACATCATATCTAATCCAAAATCGACATTAAGTTTATAGATCATTTTCACTTATTTGTTTATCAACTTTTTTTGTTGTTGTTATTTATCGTATTCGGTATAGGATTTCATATTGGCACTTGCACTCTAATAATATACAATTTATGTTGGACACTTTTCCTTATTGCAGGTCTTGAAGATCAGATGTATCAAGTTTCAGAGCCAGATAGGGTGATTGAGACTCTTCAACTCTTCCCCTTAAACTCCTTTGGGGAATCTGAACCAGAGAAGCTGAGGTTTCATGCAAATGAATGTAGGGATGATAATACAATTTTTTCATACACAATGGGAGAACAAATGGAGCACCCACCATTAGACCTGCGCTTGAGCTTTCTGTAAACGAGGTCTCAGTCTTTTCTGTGGTGGTGGAGGGAGAAGATTTTCTTTTAATAAATTCATTGTTATTACTTACTCGGTGAACTTAGGTTTAGCATAAAAAGATAACATTAAGTGATGTAATGTATCATGGACCGTTAAAAAGAATATGTAGCTTCAGATTAATATTTACCTAGTGATCAGTTTTAGCTTCATCTAAAATATTATTCTAAATGCCTTGACATTATCCTGCATGTTCCTTCATTTTGGTTTTATCTCACTGAGTATACTCTGTTGGATTATACTTCTTTGGATAGTTGAATATTATGATATATATATGACTTGGGATTCTAACTTCTTTCCTCTCATGAGATTGTTGTGCCCAAAGAGTGGGTATCCTCCAAAGTCCCACGAAATAAAAAGAAAAAAGAAAAGAGGAGAAAAAGAAGGTTCTAGAGTTGGAGGGTAATGTCTCCTCCAAGGAAGTTGTTCCTAGAAGTTGTTCCTAGAAGTCAATTTTTAATAAAACATTCTATTAAAAAATGTCTTCTAGTTGAACAACCTCTTTACCTTCTTAATACTAAAAAGACACTACTCTTGGAAAAGATTAAGGAGGATAGTGTCTCCTCCAAAAATCTTGTGAAAAAGGAAAGTTACTTTTTAATTCAAAATGATTGCAAAAAGACTTTTCTTCTTCACAAAGATTTTAACTCTTTTTCTACTGTTGCCACAGACTTAGAGCTTAAGATCCACAACCTAAATATTTTTTAAAAGAAAGGATCTCAAGTTCTTAGTCTAGTGAAGAAGAAGTGGACTTCACCTAGTTCTACTTCTTATGCTACTACTTTGGTGGTGCCCAAAGTAGACAGCCATTGTCTATTTAGGACTTCTTCTACTTTAGTTGTTCTAATAAAGCACCCAACCTTTGGTTTATATTTTTTATTAGATACATCTAATGGTGTCTTATTTTCTATATTTTATCTTAAGGGAAGTTCAAACTTCTTTGAACTTAACTTGACTACTTCCCTTCAAGACCAAATTAGATTCTATGACTCTTCTAAATTCTTTACACCCTCTTCCATGATAAAGACGTAGACATTTCGTCCGGGTCTTCTCTTCGTCTCTTTGGTGCTTCTGCATTGTTTCCCTTGTGATAGTGAGGTGAAAATTCAGATCTTCACTCTTGTTTTGACAATAGATACCTTCACGTTGTTTCCTTTGGGTAGACAGTGTTCCCTATATCCTTGTCCCATGGAGCAATTGAGTGTTGGATTGTATGCTCTATTAGGTGTCAAGGATGGTGAACCGAAACATCTAGGCTTCAAGACCCATGTGAATGCCCCATGTCGCTTCCTGTGTCCTGAATCTTCTCCTTTGCTTCAGCAGTGTAGATGCCCCCACGCCATTTCTTTCGGGTAGATGGTGTTTGCCCGTATCCTTGTCCCTAAGAGAAACTGAGTGTTGGTTTATATGCTCCGTCGGGTGATAAGGAT